GGCAAAACTGACCCCAGATATTAAAGGCAAAAGACAAAGCAACGAACAGATGTAAGAAATTTTTCATTTGTGAATAAAACCATACGAGATTAGAATAGCTTACCTACAGTATTGTTTTAACAATCTTCGTTTACTGGCTTTAAAAATAATTTAAATAACTAGTTCTTTTGGTAGTGATATTGTTTAAAAGTAACATTTAAAAATATAAATAAATAATTTGTTTGTTTTTGGCAATACACAACAAGGAGTATTGGCAGAAGAAAAGTATAAGTATCTATAGTAAAATATTATGTATTATTTTTAATGCACAATTTACTTTCAACATTCTTCATTGTATCAAAACTAGTAATACCTAGTACCTGTATTATTAATTTATTATTATTAATCAATTGAAGGAGTGACGAACGATACAGATAGAACGACACAAGAAAAGTGTTCAATAATAAATATAACGGACCCTAATAAAGAAAAAAGAGCATGTGAATTATATAAACATTGATTTATATACTATATTTTGGCGACTAGAAAGTAAAAGACACATAATGTGAAAGATAGTTAAAATGGTAAAGTCGAAAGATTTGTAGGATAAAATCCAGTTAAATAAAGACCAAAGGGAAAAATACAAATAAATTTTGGATGGAAGAAATTAAAAATGGCTGGCGGCAGGTGGAATTTGTGACATATAACATTAAACAGTCCGACAAGTCTCCCAGCATGTGCATTAGTGTAATGCATGTAAGTAAGGGGTGAGGAGAGGACATGGAAGAGGAAGGGAAGATCGCTCGCGGTCCGCGGCCCGTTTGGTAGAAACTACTCCGACTGGTGTTGATCGGAGAAACCACGGAAAACTGTCGATCAGAGCAACCCTCCGCTAGAATTCTACTCCAGATGGCGACTGACTTTGACCAAGCTATGTAGTCTCAAAAGTTCTGCCAGAGTCGAGACCTGAACCCAAAGTCCTTCCGGCCAGAGGTACTGTTGAGCACAAAAAAAGTGAGTAGTCCGTATCTACCCTGAGCCATCCGCCAGCCCTGATTGGCCTAGAGTTCAATGGACGAAGCGGACCGGCAAGCGGCAGCGGCGGCGGTGGCGCTGCATTTGTGCGGAGCAACGCAACGCGCAGCCCACGCGCAGGCTGCAGAAGACTGCGCCGCACTGCCAGCCCTCTGCGCACGCTGTGCCGCACAGTGGACCGAAAACGCAACGCACGCGACCGAAATACATTTTTTAGGTAGTAACACGCAAAATCGGCTCTTTCTTTACAGGCATAGCGTGCTGAAAGTTTAATTTGGAGCATAAGTGAGGCGATGGTCAGTATTGTTCAGAATGAGAATGCAACAATGGAAACTAAATACTTTCGTTTAATCAGCATCAGCTACTACTGACCTTAATACATTATTAAGCGATTTGTATTCTTGAATTAAAATGAAATAAAAGTAAGGTTATCTAAAAATAGTGTAGTATGGCACACGTGGTGAAAGTGATTTTATTTCGCTCGTAGGATTGCGCCTCTTGTCCTATCGACCTCGAGTCGCAATATTTCCTACTCGCAAAATAAAATGTCACTTTTACCTCTCGTATCATATGAATTATTATATATTTTTCCTTTATTTTTATGCATATATTTTTATATTAGCATATTATATAGTGGTTTAGAGGCCCTTCAACAGCTATGGTCGTTAAAACCCATTCATGATCTAAGAAGTAGTAATGATAGTAATAATTGTGTAATGAATGATGGACCGAAAGTGGAATGAGAAGCGGGAAAATAGGATAATCCAGAGAAAAACTACCGAGGGCTTGCTTTCTCAACCACAAATTTAACGTTGAGTGTGTGGGAATCGAACCAGGGACGGCAGTGGTAGCCGTTATTGACACCAGGCACATTCCCAACACCCACGCAATTAAAAGTTGCGCACGTCTCTTTTACAATAATTCCAGCATCGCTGTCGCTACAAAATATTTTTAATGGCAGTGCATTTCCTATTCTAATTGTATTGTCCGAATTAAATATAGTGACTTCCGGCTCTTAATTTGATAACCACATCACAGCTGATATCTGCTAAACGTCGGATATTAACAATACGTTTTCTAACAGTTTTTCTTATTTAGACACGTCTAAAACGCATTAGTGAGTAGTGGAATTCTTTCTTTAACATTACAACAAAAAAACAGTAAATGGTCGGCCTATTTAAAGGAGCATATTGGGGCAGGTGATTTCAACGAGAAAGCATTATTGAATATTTTGTGACAATGTTAATTTACCAATTTTTGGTATGTTTTAAAAGTTTATTAAGTTAAAAGTTTCAGTTTGGGCAGATTGTAGTCAAATTTGACTTAATTAAAGACAATTTAATATTTCCTTTAAAAATGAAAGGTTTCACAAAATTTTGAAATTGCTCACAATTGACAGACGTTGAAAGTATCATTAACTGAAAAGTTATTAACAATTCAATATCTTCACTGTTAGTGGGCACATATTTTTATTCCGCCCAAGCCCTGCTTTGAGTAGCAGTTTGTTAGAGCAAAAGGTGGCGGTATTCTTCCTCTGCGAGAACTTGAGATCCGTCAGGGCGACTTGTCGCAGCTTTCTCTCCTTCAGCCGGGGCAAGTTCTAAGCTCCTGACTAAACTTTCGACATGTGCACTTGATAGTGTGTATACGTATAGAGGAAGGTACAAGGGTGAAAATGACAGGATCGCGGGCGGTCTGTGGCCCGTTCGTATTGGCACTATACGGCATTCGCTTGGTATTGATCGGAAAACCCACAATACACTATCAGATCTGCCGGATGCTAGTCAGCGACTGAATTCGACCTTGCTCTCTAGCTGGACTCAAAAATCCACCACCGTCGGGACTCGAACCGCAGGTCCTTCCCGTCTGAAACGCTGCAGCGACAACTGCTGTTTCTCTGAGCCGATCGGGTATATTAACAATATTGATAGATCTGAGATATTAGCGTGTTTACCTTAATATTCCTAATATAACAGTAAATTTTTAAACTTTTAAACACAGTACCCTTGCATAATTATCCACACTGGATTTAAATAACATGTTTCATTAAATGAATAACATTTGATTTTTTACATAATGCTAATAACTAAATTTCACACAAATATGTGAGATAGATATGTATTGTTCTACTGGGCCCTTCAATCATTAAAAACTGCGCTAGTGCTTTTGGGCGTGGTTCGGACCAGTGCGCGCCGCCTTCGCCCGCCTGCGCCGTCGCGCCGCGCCGACGACGTGGCGGAATTGGCCATTACGACGCGGCCGCCTTAATTGCCGGCGCCGCCGCCGACGCTGAGGCTCCGCGCCCATCCTCCGAGGCGCGGCGAGTCGACTGCTTCCGGTGCACCTCGCGTTTCCCATTGAATGATTGATTAATTAATTAATTAATTAGCGATTCCAGGGGCGTCAATTACTATGGTCATTTGTCCCGTAAGAATGGCGCATGTTTATCCGGAGAGATGGCGGTGTTCTCCCCCTGCTGGAAGGCGGGGGGGGGGTTGCCCAAGCAGGTATCTCCTACCAGCGGGATACCGCTCCACTCGGTACAAGCTGTAAGCTTCCCGACTTGTGTGATGGTGTAATGCGTGTAAGTGTACGTGTAAAGAGTAAGGCTTGGAAAAAGACGAACAAAAGATCGTGAGCGGCCCGTGGGCAGTTTTTTACGAGACCGCCTAGTGTCGCGTTTCCGAAGTGGAATACGAGACAGGGCGTAGGGGTCCGGACAGACGGGGAAGTGGGTGGAAGTCAGTCATTCCGCATTCGGATGAGCCTTCCAGTCCATTGGTACATGCGTTTTAAGTCTTCTAATTCGGTTTTCTTCATTTTCCTTTTATGATCTTGTCCTTTTTTCAATTTGCTCTTCCTGTGCTTCTTCTTTCTTCTTCGATTTTACTTCTTTTTTCGAATTTTCCTTCTTTCGTATTCTTTTCTTCTTTCTTTCCTTCTCAAACTTTCTTCTTCATTTTTCTCTATTTTTTATTTTTTCTCAAAGGTTTCTTTTCACTTTGTATTCTTCATTTTCATTTTCTCTGTTCTGTTTTCTTATTTCGTTTCCTCATTTTTTGCCCTGCCATTTTGGTTACCTTCGTTTTATTTCTTCGTCTATATAATATTGTTATTCCTTTTTGACCCTTCCTTTTGTTGACTTCAATGATGCGCCATAGTCGTCTCTGTCTTTCCTAAAGTACATGTGAATTACAACTATGAATTTACTTCCAATACAATTGCCTGCTTTTTACTTCCATGTACATCCTTCGCAAAAAGAGAAAGTTACGTAAACATGTTCTGAAAAACGGTGAATTTTCGGGAGAAACTCTTTTATTACCGGGTCCTGCTAATTAAAAAGTCAATTAATCATATTGATATATCTAGTAAATGTTCACACTCTAACACGTGGTGCAGCCAGAATCCATCTTTTGTGGGTCCTGGCCAAAGTCGATACCGAAAAATCGACTGGCGGCAAAACGTCTGTCTGGCCGTCTGGGGTCAGTGCCTAGACAGTTCAGGAGATTTTCTTAAAGCTTTCAAAGTTTCAAATGGATATTTTGATTTTTGAGGGTACTTTACATGAAGCCTCAAAAACATTCTCAAAAGTTTCTCAAAAATGGCATAACTTTTTTAAATTTGACTTTGTCCTCCGATAGTGTAAAAGACGCATATGAAAACGGTGCAGGTCTCTTGTTCAAATTCTCGAATCTTTTGATGTAATTTCTGGAAACTGCATATTTAAACATGCGATAACGTATGTGCTGTTATAGCAACACTAGTTAAGATGGTACAATCAGAGCTGTGGAATGTGGAAATGCCAGCATTTTCTGTTGTGCCAATGTCAGAACTGCACACTACTTGCAGTAATTAGCCTTCACAACTTTCTACATAAGAGTACTGTTCTGTGTTTTCAGTACAGCATCGAAGCGGACATCGCGCCATCGCTCTCCCAGTAGCATGGCGGACTCGTAGAGCGCAGCTGCGAGGGCGTCAACACAGCCATGAGCGAGGGAGCGCAGCCGGTGCACCTGGACGTGGCGTGCCACGCGGCGCCGGGGAGCGCGCTGGACGACCCCGCGCCCGCAGCCGGCTGCTCCTCGGACGCGCAGGCCGGGGGCAGCGAGGACGGGCGGTCGTCGAGCGCCGACGCCGACGAGGGCTTCCCGGACCTGCTGCTGGCGCGCCGCCTCGGGGAGGACGGGGACGGGTCGGAGGCCCGCGCGCCCGACGGCGGCTGGGGGTGGATCGTGGTGGCGGCCGCCTTCGTCACCAACCTCATCGCCGACGGCGTCACCTTCACCTTCGGCATCGTGTACGTCGACCTGCTCAAATACTTCAAGGAGGGCAAGAGCAAGACGGCGTGGATCGGCGGGCTGTTCATGGCGATGCCGCTGCTGTCGGGCCCCATCGCCAGCTACCTCACCGACCGCTTCGGCTGCCGGCGCGTGTGCATCTTCGGCGCCGTGCTGTCGGCGGTCGGCTTCATCATCAGCTCCTTCGCGCACTCCATCGAGCTGCTCATCGTCACGTTCGGCATCGTGTCGGGCTTCGGCCTGGCGCTGTGCTACGTGGCGGCCGTCGTCATCGTGGCGTACTACTTCGACAAGCGGCGCTCGCTCGCCACGGGCCTGTCCGTGTGCGGCAGCGGCATCGGCACCTTCGTGTTCGCGCCGCTCACCGCGTCGCTCATCACCGAGTACGGGTGGCGCGGCACCACGCTCATCCTGGCGGGC